ACCTACATGAATTATGAGATCCTTGGTCCATTGATTCATGAGAGTTTCATCAGTGCATTTCCAGTAACACCATCATCTGCTTGAGAGTTTGGCTCTTCCACATCTCCTGACAGACCTGGATTCTCTCCTTACACAAGCTGGGGTATTTGTACCAACATTGATGTGCTTTTAAGGAGATTGATAGTGATATCCATATCAGAACTAGATCCCGTGGAAACTGTTCTTCTAAAAGAGTTTCATATGTCTGAAATCTTGTCAATGTGGCCAATAAAGAAGGAGTTTGGCTCTGTTGGGAACATTTTTGTAATAAATAAGTTGTCTCAGTGGCATTTCTGTCTCCATTCAGCTTCCCAAACCACGAAGGCAAAACTGTAACCAACCTGCAGATTTGCATATGTTTTGTTTAACACTGTGAATAAGTAAGAGCTCTGGGCACTTCTCAAACATATATAGGGCAAATATTCCTCTTTTGGGGAAAGATATATACTGAAATTGCTTTTCTCAGTACTCAGGAAGCCTTTTCACTGTTGATCATACTTCGTAAGCTGTGCCTCTGAGGTGAGATGCAAGCAGCAAACTATGTTGATGTAAACACATGATCAGGCGCAATTGAAACACAAGCCTGTGTTTTGATGTAATGATCATTTTTAATTATGATGTGCTGCTAGCACTGATCTGGGATATCACATCAGAGAATCAGCCCCCCTGCTCCCCTGAGACTCATTGGGCTGCTTCTCTTTTTCATAAAATCCCAATTTGTATTACTTCATAACACCATCAACTAAAATATGCATTTCAGTAAAACCACCAGATCTCAGAGACTCAGAGAAGCTTAGAAAAAAACCATAATGACTTGTTTCTTGCTGTTGATTTTCCAAATGTGCTTAACTTCCTTTTCCAGCACCCAGAATGCACATTTTATTTTACTACTAACTGTTAGTCAGAAATAGCTTTGTTAAATTCATTGGATGTTTTTGCAAAATGTTAGAGATATACTAGACTGTTTTATAATATTTATACTATGGCATAAATTCTTTTGCAAGTGTACTAAAAAGCAGATTTCTTCTCCCCCTCTGTGACTTCAGAGAAATTTTTCCATATTTTTCTGAATGCAGTAGTGCCTTCCTATTGTTTCTGAGGCCACTGATTCCAGACATAGGTACTCATACGCACAGACACACACACTTGCAGATGCAGTCATACAGATAGACAGCTTTCAAAGAACATAATCTGCATTGGGGAACCTGGATTAAAGGGCCTTTCATGGAGATTAAAACCTGAACAAAGCATAAGTAATGGTTAATCAAAATAAAAGTGAATAGAAAACCCCCAGGTTGGTGAAAATTCTGAAAAATGTTCCTTATCCATGTAAAAATTAGAAATTAAAATCATCTCTATTTTGGAATATCTCTTATTCAGAAAAATAATACTGATGTAAATGTCTTGATTTTGAAAATACGTTTTGATTTATAGTTGTTAAAATATTTTTAAAGAAAATTAACTAAGAAGTCAACGGTTTCACAGAAATAATTCCAAAATGAAGAACACAATGTTTCCTTTGGTAAGGTTGGGACCTGGGATTGGGAACATGGTGCTGCTTTATGTATTAGGTTTCTAGATTAGGAGTTAGGGTTTCTGTTTGAAAGGGATACGAAAACAAGGATGCTAGTTCCTCAGTGATGACTTGATGAAAGCGCACACACACTGTAAAGAACAGATGACAAAAGCTCAAGCTGTCCCCCTCTTAAAATGCCCTATCCATGCATTTTGCCCTCATGCCTTGTGTTCTTACTTATGCTTCAGTCCAGCCAAAGAGCAAGGCCTGCTCCCAACACACAGGTCTGAACCTCTCCTAGGTTCTTTTCAAGGGAGAAATCCAAGTCCTTGTCTTTCTCTGGACATGTTCCAACACTGCATTCCACCTCTGCTGCAGTGGTAAGAACACTAATTACCCCAAACCTTGCAGAGCTGCACCTCTGACAGAGAGATGCCTCCACTGCCTTAATCTGGACTCTAACAAACCTTTGAGAAGAAACAACCCCTCAGAAAGGGCATCTCAGAGCATGTGAAGCAAGTTAGGTAGACCAGGAGCTTTCAGCCTAACTCACATCTAATGATCACAAGTGTCCACAGTGTAAAAAAGTCCTAGAAGCCCATAAGACTGCATTACTGTTTGGGGCCTTGGAGATTTTAGTCACTACTGCCCACAATAGATAGGAGTTAGGCAGGCTGAAGCCTGTCACTCATCTCAAAATTAATTCAGTTAGTTAATTCACAAACACTGGCAGGTCATTGAAAAACTACTAAGGTACCCAGACAAGAGTAAGCAATATTATCTGGAAAGGTCAGCCTGAAGGGAGATCACTAAAATGCAAGGAATGTTTTAGGGACAATCTTAACACCGCAATCCTCTGAGGAGTTGGCTTTTAATTTATTACCCTCTTGTATGTGACAGTGGCAAAGAGACAGTGGAAAGCTTTTCATAGGCCTTCATTGTCTCTTCTTAAGTAATCTTCTTGTTGTTGAATCTTAAAGGTTGGGATTTTTTCTTTTTCTAGGGGTTCTTGTCAAACAATGACAATACCACCAGACCCATATGCCCTGGCTGGCCTACTTACTGCTGCTGCTAGAATAAGCATGTGTTCCAGGAACAATTTCCCATGCAATTTGATCTGTTTAAAAGTATGTGCCAGCCACGGTAGATGAGCATGTATTAGTGAGATCAGTATGTCTTTGTGTAGCATTCTGCAGTGCAGTGCATGTTTTCCTTTTGTTGAAAGACCTAATGAGTGGTCTATTACATAAAACAGGACAGCAGACCCCTTCTCTCCTTTTCTAGAGGAAGTTACTTGTAATGTATGACACTTCCTTATTTCCTTGGAAGTCCTGGCTATATATGAAATCAAACTCCAGACCATGTCTTTAGTGTATGAGTAACGAGACAATGCTAAATTCAGAGGCACAGCGGAAGGTCTTGATTTCATATGAAGGAGGATCAAGCTGAAGTGATCCCATGCTAATTGCTGTGATAATGTTCAAGCCACCTAGAAATTTCTCCTAATGCCATTTTGTTCCATTGACCAAAATAAAATTATCATGAACTCTCACTGCCACCTGTAGCCTGTTTAGTGATGACTGTGCATCACTGGTATGTATCCCCAGAAAGTGTGAAGTATAATAATTAATAGGCCTAATTCCACACTACTGAAGTACATAGGAGGCTTTCCATCAGCTTTAATGAGAGTTGAAACATGTCTTAGCTGAGCTATATGGGGAAGGAGAAGCTCTTTAAATTATGTATTTCTTTAGCTCTGTGAAAGGTTCTTTGGGGGTTACTGTCTGCTCTGGGTGGAATGCACATTGCCAGCCACAAACAAAAGGACTGCTCATCCCACCTGACAAAGCACACTGGCAAGATAAGAAGACAACAAAATAAACTACATCCTCTCTAGTTCTCAGACTATTTGTTCTGCAAAAGCCAGGAAAAAAAGTATGTGGTTTGTGATATGGCCAAAGGCTTAATAACTTAAAACTCCTGTAGTCCCAAAGACCTTGAAGAAGAATAAATGCCAAACTCAGAGATACCTACTCCTTTAGCAGTTCCCTGCTTTTGTAGCAAAGGAGCTCCAGCACAAAGGGATCATTTAGTAGTACCTGGGGCCACAAGATCCCTATTGCTATTGAAACCAGGGATAAAAGGAATAGTAGAGCCTACAGTGGGTTATCAGGAAGAATTATGGCAGCCATATCTCCAGGCAACAGAGATGCAGATAGTAATAGGAAAGTCTAACAGAAAAGAGAAGAGCTGTGTCGCTTCCTCTCACAGAAACTAATATAGAATTTTTTTGACCATGCCAGGAAGAGAATATCAGACTCAACACACCTAAATTCTCCATCTGCCTCATCAACACCAGTTGCACTCCCTCAGTGAGCAGTGGGGATGGAAAATCTGGCATCAGGCATGGATTTCTCCCTGCTTCTGTTCATCCCACTAAGATTGTCTCAGTCTCTTCCAGACTCATTTGCAAATAGCCAGCTCCCCTGAAAGCCTCAAGTGTGTCTAGACATTGGCTAATCCCTTCCCTTGTGCCAGCTGGGTGACATCAGCATACTGAATATTGCTGCAAATCTCTGCACAAGCCAGGTCTCCCAGCACACATATCACGCACCTTTTCCATATTACTTTGCTGGAATCACAGCAAACAGAAGAATGCTGCCAACAGCTACCTGTTAGGGTCTCTCTGGAGCATGAAGATTTCAGCTTCAGAGAGTAAGTCTGTGCAGTGATGGTGGACTCTCCGAATAAGTAATCAAATCTCATGGTCATGGCTATCCTCCTAAAGGAACCACTGTGGATTTTGTTTCTTTGACTGTACTTAACAGGAGTTAATCCAGCTGTTCCAAATTTTTCATATCACTGTAGGTCTATAAGCTTTGATCACATCCAGGTAAACCTGGAAGTTGCTACTTGCTACAATGGTAAATTCAGGGATCTCCTGCCACCTGGCTGATTGCTTACCACTGTACAAGGTTGTCAGCATCAGTCAGGTTGCTGACACTTACTTCCTAAAAGATATTCTAAGTTCAGTGGTGTTCTCATTCTCTATTATGTATAAAGGAAACAAGAGAGCTTGTCAGAATAAAGACATTTAGTGCGTACTCAGAAATACCTTTAATTGTTGCATGGCACTTAAATACTTAGAAAATCTCGAGATCAATAGATTGATCTCACTGAGTCATCTGTCTCCCACCTATTCAAATGTTCATGCTCAGCATTATAATTATCTCAGCACCTTTAAATTGGCTGTTAGGATATCAAAGAATCACAAAGTCACAGAATTGTTAAGGTTGGAAGGGACCACTGAAGACCATCTAATCCAACCTCCCAGCTCAAGCAGGGTCCTCTAGAGCACATAACTCAGGATTGTGACCAAACGTCTCCAAAGAAGGAAGCTCCATGAACATTCTAGGCAATATGTTCCAGTGCTCAGTCACTGTCACAGTAAAGAAGCTCTTCTCCATGTTCAGAATACCAAAATGATGGCTGTACCCCTTTTTTTAAACAAGGTTGTTTTGGGCCTCTTTTGCTGTGGCAGAGTACAGGGAGAATGCTGTAGAGGGGCAGTGTTTGGGGACAAGGCCATCAACTTTCACAGGAATGGAGTGGACCTCTGCGCTGCTGCTGAACCGGTAAAGATTCCCTTATTTTTTAGGAGATGATGTTCATGCACTACATGCAGCACTTATATATTACGCAAGAAAAAGGAACTTGTCACTGTCTGCTCAGCACATTGATCTGTCTGTCAGCCCAATATTCTGGCTGCAAATATTGCCCATATTCAAACCTCCAGAAGATGAAAGATGCCCACATTCACCTCACCAATTATGTATCAGTGCATAATGAGATAAAATCTCCTTGTTGATCACCCACCTGGTCAATTTAATTGCCTTTACCGTTGCCTTTAATTTAAAAGAGTATAATTTTTAAAAATGGTCTCTTAGCTTTGGTCTTACTCCACACTGAGAGGCAGTGGACACTAAAACCAGAAACAATATTCAAGCACCAACATTTGAGGTGAGTTAACTAAGCTTTAAATATATATCATTTTAGTCAAATAAATACTAGATGACTTTTACATCCCTGTAACAATAAAACTAGATTTTATATAATCTCCTGCATTGTTATGCCAATCAAAAGTGACCCATGCAGGTGACCGAACTCTGCAGTTTACAGCATTAACAAGTCTTTTCCCCCTTTTTTTTTCATAGCAGGTTCTCAAGCCTGCTTATCTGAAACCTCCAAAGTAATGTGTTTTAACAAACAAAATTAGGCAGACGTATCACCCACTGTGGGATTTGAACCCATTGTCACTGTGGAGAAAGCTGCAATTTAATAGATGAAGATGTCAAACTGTGTTATAGAAGCTCTTGCGACTGCATATTTATCACAGTGTCATAGGGGTCTCCAGCAAACTGAAAGATTTCACTGTTTATTCACAGTGAAGACACTTAATTAATGACTAGGCCTAATCAACCAGCTTTATTATTTACAGGGATTCCAACATGGCTTAGCTCAACTGATATGCAAACAAACCACCCTCAGCCTGCTCTAATTAATAATTCTGAACCAGACTCACAGAGTGGCACTGTCAAGTAGCTCTTCGGTGATTTACAACACCTCCTCTGCTAGATTCACATTGCTTGCATGCAAATGAACTGCCACCCCTGTGAATCCTTCATTTTAAAATACAATGTGCCGTCTTGTTGACTACAGGAATGCCCTTATCTTCACACATGACTTAATGGAGATAAATGTTTGACTTGGGCAGGTTTGTGGAGACCTTCATGGACACACATCTACACAGCATGTCATTTCAGAAATGTTTAGGAGGTGAGGAAGAAAAACTCTCTATTGCCTCTGGCACAGTTTCTGCAGCTGAATTCTTCCACCAAGTTGTCAGACTCAACCTCCCCAAAAAGGGAGGGACTACCCATTGTCTTCCACTTGCTAAGTTATTTTCCATTGCTGCTAAGTAGATGAAAGGCAAGGAAAATGTGTCAGAGGATTGGAAAGTTGTTATGAAATAACTTGACTCCAATGTCACACATAGGTACTCGGTGATCTCACTCAGTGATTAGATGCCGTAGTGGTCTGAAAGAAAGAGATTTCTTCTCCAGGAGGTTAGGGACAAAAATCACCATAAAAAATACAAATGGGAATTAATGGGAATCACTTGCATCTACAAATGATTGAAGAATGTTTCACAATTTCATATTTGTAGGGGGAAAACTGAGGAAAAGAGAAGGTCAGAGAAGGTCAGGAAGATATGCTACCAGCTGAGGAAGGCAGCACTGGATTCACACCAGAAGACCTCATTTTCTCTGAAAAAGACTTCTAAATACAGATGGAAAACATTATGAGTGGAGCAATATAAGAAGTCAGATGAAAATAGCTCATGAGTATGAGTCATCCCACTTGTGACTGCTGTCCTATTCCATTGTGAGCTGTGCTTGAGAAACACTGTAAAGCAGCACATCAGGAAGAGAAAAGATCTCCCTCAAACCTATTAGCTTAAATGCAAAGCCAGTGCTACTTAGCACCTGCAATGTTTGTTGACCTTAGACAATACATGTGGGCTTGGGTCTGTGGAAAGGTGGAAGTTCTGTACCAGGAAGCACATATGCACATACTCATGGTTAGCCAAGTCTGTACATCTTCCCAGACAAAACTGGCTTTAGTATAAGGTCAGGCGCATTAAATTGCTAACACAAAATAAACTGCCTATTATACAGTACACAACTTCCCAGCCCTGGAAGACAGGAAGCTCTGCAGCTCACGGAGAGCAGATGTTTCTTCAGGCTCCATGTTGCACCAGGCACCTCATCTTTCACAAATATGGTAATGTAAGGAAGGAAGTAATTACTGAAAGGAAGTAATTATTAAAGGCTCGCTGTCAATTTGAACCAAAGCTCCCTATGCTGGTGCCACCAAGGTTCTTCCTATTCAGTAATCTCATTAATGAGATGGATAGTAGAATGGATTGAATTTAATAAACATGGAGGTGATACAAGCCTGGGAGAGGCTGCGAAACACTGGAGTACAGGATGAAAGCTCAAGATTATCATGACAAATTGAAGAAATGGTCAGAGGAAGAAAAAAAATCAATTAATTCACTAAAAGTGTGGAGTGCTACATTTAAACTACTGTACAGAAATGATGAACCACACTAATATAAGGTAGGAAATTAATTTCCCTGCAGTCATTGCACAGAAAAGAATCTGGGCCTTATAGTAGACTGAATTTGAGACGATATTAACTGTGGGGGGAAAAAAAGGAAAACATCACGCCTTTCTAACCTGAAACTACTAACAATTCCAGACCAGAAGATAGAAGTTTATTTGGGAAAGACTATTGTGTGTGCAACTGCAAACCTCCTTTGTTCAGGTAATTGACGGCAGAGTAAGGGCGGTGTTCTAGGACATCTGAGATGGACTAAAATACCCCAAAGAGCCAAGGAATGAGAGTGAAAAAGACTTGTAAGTTAAAGGTATTGAACTATATACAAAAATTACAAATCTGCAATGACATAAGAAAAAGGAGCAAAGAAAGAACACAAAAATAAAGAATGAGGAAACTGTTTATACATACAATGTTATTTTTATTCAGTGGCTTAGCAATACTTATTATAATAGAATATGTGAAATGCATGGAGGTTTCTGGGATTTTTAAATAGCTTTTTCCATTAGTCAACTTATGGACAGAGTTTCTGTAGATTTAGAAGGGAAACAGAGCGTAGCTGGATAAAACAGACAGGCAAATGGACAATTTATCAAAATGCTATACACTCAACTAGATAAAAAATATTAATTTGTAACTTGGCTATTAAGAATTGTCAAGCTTCTAGTCAGGTTGGCAATTCTCAAGTTTGAGAATTCAATTTGTAGTCTGCAACATTAAATTAAAAAGTCCCCCTTAGTGTCAGTCTTCACTAATGTTTGTAGATGTAACAAGAACTTCTGGCATCAGTGAACCTGCTTCCCAGTTATTGTCCTTCTTGGCTCACAGCAAGGTTGAGAAGGAAGCAAAAATACAAAGATGTCTCTTCTGCTTGAGGTTTTTGATATTCCAATGCACTGTAGAGGGCTCTGTAAACCCCTTCTCAAACTCAAAGTCTGCCACACTCACAGTATGGTGTGACTTTACAATGGGTTTGCCCACAAACTGATGAGTTGTCTTTAGTAAAGGTTTGGGTAGTTGATGAACTCACCAATTCCCCTTGAATGGTTGGCAAATGGTTTATCTGTAGGTATATGAATCAGGTAGGGTTGCGGTATCAACATCACTTGCATTTGTAAGACCTAGAATTAGGCTGTAAACAGGTTTAGGGACCTTACTGGCTGTTAATGTCAAGATTTACATGCATAATTTAAAAAAACCCCAAATTATTTTATTTTTGTACACAAAAGCCAACCAAAAAGGTGATAACAAGCACAGTGCAAAATTTGGCATGACAGCTCTAGTTTGTGCTAGCTTTTTCAGGGACTCTGGAAGCTTTTAATACTTCACAGAAAGGGGAAACTCTTTGGTGGATGCAGGAATGACTTCTATCTTTGGAATAATGAGCCTATCTCTGCCAAGTACTTTATAAAATTCTCTAAAATCTTGTTTTACTATTTTGCCCTAGCAGTGCTGTGTAGTAGCAGCATAACAAGTTATTAACTGTGATTATTGTATACTGTAAGAAATTTCCATAGATATTTGTTTAAAATGCTAAAACCCATTACAGTTGTCATGTGTTTGTCCATGCTTTTGGTAGAAAAAGTTGTAACATTCTTTTTGAACTAATTTTTTAGTTTTTCAATGTATAACAATTGAGTATTTGTAACTTCTAATATAATCTAAGTATTGAACACCTTAAATTGTTCTTGTTTTCTATGATAGTATTCCCTTAAACTTTCATTGTATTATATGCACAAGTGGTGTGTACATACATGGAAACACCTACTGCAAAAATTTTATGCTGAGATCTCCACCAGCCAAAAAGTATTTGAACTGACACTGGGGGTGTGTGTTAAAGTGTTACATTCTCATCATAGCTGCCAAGATGACTGTCTCGGAGACTGCCATCTTCTCTTTCTTACCTAAGGGACAGTAAAAGCAGTGGAGAGCAACAAATCCATTCATAGGCTTCTCTGCAGTCTTGAAAGATTAGCACTGCGTCAGATAGGGCAGGCTTATTTCCACAGTTCTTTTAATCTCTAATGTCTCAGCTGAATTCACCCAGAAGATGGTATCTGCCACAGTGGTTACTCACTGCACTAGCAAATTTTCTCCAAAAAGACTATATGAACACTCTTGGAAAACACAAAAGTGTTTTTTATGAGATACGGCATCCAAGAGTGAAAGCAAGAGGCAACAAGGAGCCATAGCCATTGTGTGGCAGTTTACAAGGAAGAGCATAGCATGAGTCCTTGGGTGCACAGCATTCAGGTGTTGCTCCAAGATCAGTCATAGTCACACCATTGCAGCTGGTGGGACTCTGCATGCTGCAGACTCGTAGCTGCCGTGCAGTCACCTACATTTCCTGCTATCTCTGGGGCAATGATGCTCCTTGGGCTACGGAATGAAAAGTATGCTTGTACAGAGAGCTTGCAGAGAACTTGATAATAACACTTTATTAGCAACACATTGATTTAGTACATACCATATAATTTTACCCTTGCAGATACAGCATCTGATTCCTTGACTGTTTTTCAGGCAAACCTTCCAGTAATTTCTGCTAGACTTTATTCTGAGTGATGTTGATAAGACACTTCACCTTTTCTGGAAACATCATATCTCTGTTACATCTGGTTCCAAGAGTCTTCCAGAGAAAGAAACTTTCACAGCAAGGTTCCCTGCCAAAGGACACTGGTGCAATTCCATTGGTTTCAATAAAGCTCTTCCAGTTAGAACCAGCAGACTTGATGTGTGTTGGAGGAAGTGACGAGGAAGAGAACAATTGTTATTCTTATTTCTTATGCAATTTCCTGTGACAATATCCAGTTTCTAGGTCCTTACACAGATAAGACAGCTGTGTGTGAAAATACCCTCCTGTAAACTTTTAATTTAATATAAAAAATATCACCCTCACTTTTTTTTTTACCAGGCTGTTACTTATTTGATATGATATACAGATACATAAATGTATATAATAAATTAAATAGGAGAGTTGCTATTAAAAATGTATTATCTGATTATAGTAGAAGTTAACTTCTGGGATGAAATCATGTTTAATAACATACTAGTTAAAATACGTAATGCAGTTTCAAAAAATAAACAGAGCCTACATCTAAGGGAAATTTGAATTAAGGCTTTCTCTCAATCTTTACAAATGATTTTTTCTTTTGTACATAAAATTCAATAGTAGTATGAAAAGGAAAATTACATAGCAATCACAACTGCGACTGTATTAATTCTTTATTCTACTTTTCTTTGCTATGCATGATTATAGTTGCATGATTATGCTTAATCATTCCTGAAGAAGCACTGTCTTAACAGTTATATTCTTATGAAGCCTTTAAAAATTGCGTATTTAAAAATACTAAAAATAATCACCCAAAGAAATGGCTGTATCCAAATAATCTCAGAAAGGAAAATAAAACACAAAATGGCTGATGAAATCACAAAACTAATTTCAAAATTCCTCTCGTAAAGATTAAAAAAGACAATGATAACTTACATTTGTTCTTTCAAATGTAGCAAAACCTTTTTTTTTTACATGACTGATGACATTTCAAACATAATTTCTCATCTATCTGTAATGAATTCTCTACCTCTGAGACTCAGGATTAATTTTAAACAGGATCTAAAAAATAGCAATAATTTGTGCTTTTGGGAATCCTATCCCCAAATAATCTTTTTTTTTTTTTTTTGTGTGGACCGTCTGACAATGACAGTAAATAAATAGTAAATTCTTATTGTTGAATAACATTCTATTGGGATAACACTATAAACCTCACACAGGCAAGATGGGTGATGTACCTTTAGGAGTTCTGAGGAGTTGCCTAAAGGATGGGAAGGACCAAGCAGTAAAGCTTGAGCAGGAGGCAGAAGCTCTGAGGGGACCTTGCAGGGGACAGTTCCTGGTGACCTCCAGAAGAGCAAACATATAAAGTGGTGTTCACAAAGTGTAAGGAGTTGCCAGGCAGTGCTGGCAGAGGCACCACTGAGTAAGGTCAAGAAGGTTTGAAACTGGGGTGTCAAAAGAGGTGAGCAAGCAGGAGAAAAGGACAGGCTCTAACAGCTCACAAGGCTGTTAGAGCCATGCTCAGCTGTAGGGCAGCCTCTGCACAAATCAGTCCATCAGCAATGGGCCAGTAGCCAGATAAGTCCTTGTCTCCTCCCTGCAATGGGAAATGATTATCAAACCTGAGTT